ACGGGCTCTACGCGTGGCCCGGCGCCGTGGTGCTCGCCCAGTACCTGTGGTTCCACCGCGCCGCGCTGCCCGGCACGAGAGTCCTGGAGGTAACGTGCAGCCGCGCACAGCCCTCCGGCTCGTTACTCGCGTTCCTCATCGTTCACTTTTCCCCCTAGTTTAAGCCCAGGCGAGGCCGACTGCTCCGTATTAACAGTCCTCTCCCCCACCGTCGGTTACTTTGCCTAATTGCAGGAACAGGAAAGCTTCTCACACGAGTACCCGGTTTGGTACAAAACCACGCAGAAAGCCCCGTGGGATGGAGCCACCCTCTTCCCCCTCACCTCGCAGCACATCGCAGCACTCCACTATTTGCAACCAGCCCCTTCTGGGGAACTTCTTCCACCTTGAGGCTACAGTTCAAGCCCAGCATGAGTTTTCCCTCCTTCCCCCCAGCTTCAGCCAAGCTGTTGCAAGCACACGGGTGCACTAACCATTTGGTCTGCATAAAAATTGCCCTTTTTAACCTTTTCATCTGCATAAAATTGCCTTTTTTTTTTGTCCTTTCAGATCGGGGCAGGCGTTGGCCTCCCTGGTTTAGTAGCTGCCAAGTGCGGTGCTGAAGTTACCCTTTCCGACAGCGAAGAGCTCCCCCAGTGCTTGGAGAACTGTCGGAGGAGCTGCCTGATGAACAACCTGCCTCATGTACCTGTCCTAGGCCTCACGTGGGGACGGCTATCTCCAGAGCTGCTCTCTCTTGCTCCTGTAGACATTATTTTAGGGTCCGATGTCTTTTTTGACCCCAAAGGTACATTAATTCTCTCAGGTAACTTCAACTCGATAAAAAGAGCAAAGCCTTACTACATTTTCAATGAGTCCATAGTTACTAGTATTAGGAACTACATCAAGATGAGATGGCAGATTTTCTGGTAGTAAAACTATGTTATCATTGAGCTGCTTCTTGCGGTAATTCTAGTATTAAGCTATCCCATAGCCACCACAGGAAAACAAGTGAACAGGAAATGGGATGTTCCTCAGGTCTACTACCCAGCTGAAGGCCTATTTAACCATGTCTAGAATATGGAGACTTATTAAAGTCTATTAAGGAGTATTAAAATACAGTTTTAAGTTTCCATATTCTCTTTATCTTCCTTATCTATGCAGATTTTGAAAATATTTTAACTACTGTTTATTACTTAATGGAAAAGAATCCACATGCTCAGTTCTGGACTACCTACCAAGTCCGAAGGTAAACACTTTTGCCTATTTTTGTTAAAATCACCCAATTTCATTAGCATCACAGCTCCCCTTACTAACTGCAAGCAGCAAGAAAGCATGACCCAGCTTGACTAAGCTCAGTTCTGTCCCCAAAACATGCAGCCATTTCTCAGCTTCTTTCCTGTTCATTAAACACTGCTAACTTTCCAGAGGTACCTTCATGGCACTAATTCCAAAGGAGAGATTCTCACTTAGGCTGGTATGAGCCAATAAAATACTGGAAATATCAGACAAAAGCTGCTAAATTAAATATTAAGAACAAATTAACTCTGCTACCAACTTTGCTGACAGCGCATCTCGTTATTACTGCAAAATTTATTAACTTAATTACACTTTTCCCCCCATCTGCCATTTCTTCCCTTCAGTGCTGACTGGTCTATTGAAGCCCTGCTCTGCAAATGGAAGCTGAAGAACATCCATGTCCCACTACAATCATTTAATGCAGACAAAGAGCACTTGGCCGGCTCCTCCTTACCAGGAAGGCATACGATTGAAATGATGATCATCTCACTAGCAAATTCAGATGGTACTTAAGTTTATTCCACTTGTTGGTTCCAATACAAGATGATACTGTAGCATGGATCTGCAGGAAACAGTCTGATTTGCAGCAAACCTCATGCATACTTCTTGGAAAGCAGGTAATACCTTTAGCAGTATTTTATTTAAAAAACAAAAAAATGCAACATGCGCTGTAAAAAATAAAGCTGTTCTAGTCTTAGCTATGGCTTTTGAGAAATTTGTCCTTCCTAAATACAACTCAAGACTCAATTCCAGCATGGGAGCTACTGAACACTTAGCTTAACAGTTTTACAATCCACTAGGTCCCACTTACCCTTTTCTCCACAGTTTAGTTGTGCATTTTAACTGCATTCATTCAGGATAAAAAGTAACCCTTTAAAATCTGATTGCCAGGGCTGAAACTCTTCCCTGAAGACTCATATTCTAAAAGCCAACCCTTTCCCTTGCCCTTTTTTCATGGGGGATCTACACTGACTGCTGCCAGTCATGCAGTCCTGGAACATACAAACTCCTCAGCTTGTAGAAAAGTATTTTTAATCCTCAATCAAGCCAGAGTTCAAATATTCAGATGTTTTCCATTTAACATACATGCATAAAGTTAGCAAGGCATTACAATAACCCTTGACAAAGGATGGTTGAGATTACAATCCATTTAGCATCCAACTCAAAAAAACCCTCATCACTAGAAGATTTGGCTACCATCAAGCAGCAGCCTGTTGAGGCAGAGCAAGCACACAGCAAATGCAATTAGTACTGCTCAGTGTGTATCTTCCACAACAACATCTAGCAGATCTGCCTGATTTTAGTCTGCTGTGCAATACTCATCTTACAGTGTTTTGGTTAGTCACAACACTATTAAGTTTTCCTTAGTAATTTCAAAGCAATCCCAGTGGATAATATTTAGAAGCAGTAGTATGCATTCAGTTACTATACAGAAGTTAAACATTGACAGTATCATTGCAGAAATCTTTTCAAGCTAAAAATAAGCTGACTCAAGACATTAAGTTGAGAAAAGTTAACACAGAAAAATGTTTAATATTAAACTACAGAGACAGTGGGTATAGTACAGAATGTCTTTACGCAAAAGATACACCAATCAGTACTTACAAAGGAATGAACCATTTCTTTGTTAACATTACATTTCTCATATGTAAGTTCGTATATGCATGTTGGTGAGATTTACCATTCTGGAAAAAATAGGGTGTGTATATCATCAGCTAGATGTGCTCACTGTATGCTCCATTATTTTTATGCAAGGCCCGGGTGACTGGAAGTGCAGTTGTCAGGCATTTTAATTAACTGGACAGCCATTTGTTTCTGCACGACAAGGCATCGTTACACTGGAGCAATCAGGAGAAAACAGGAAACAGCCAAGCACTCTGCACTGCAACACGCCACCTTAACAGCTAACCAGCATTACTCAACTGCTACACAACTGCGCCTAGTGCACAAAAATACATAAGAGAAGAGATTAGAATTGAGTCTGATAAAACATTCCTTTCAAAAAATATAATAATCAACTGTCACCTGAAAAGATTTCTACCAATTTAAGATATTATTTAAATTCTAAGTTTAAAAAAAAAAAAGCATTTACAGTAAATTTCAAATTGAAGTCTTGCAGAATTTTATTCAAGGAATGAAGACAAAATTGAGAATACTTTTTTTTTTTTGACAGTTAGCTACTCAGTGTATAATGGCTGCATGTCTCCTCAGTATGAAACTTGAGGCAGCAAGTTACCAGTTTAATTTCAAATAAAAGTCAGCACTATATAAACAAAATGAAGTTTTACCTCAAATATCCAAGCCAATAATGAAATCGGTAGTCGTTCACTTCACTAAATTACAAGAAATTTGAATAACAGCAACAAAATGGCACATAAAATGTAAAATCTGCCACTTGAGGCGCAACTTAAACAAGTAAAAAGTTAGACAAAATGTTACAAAATAACCTTTTCATCAGCTGGTTGCTCGTGCCAGGGGTCTCTCCAATGGACTGAAGACTCAAGCGATCTTTTCCCCCCAAAGGCGTCCTTTATGTAGATTCTCTATCTGTTGCATCTAGGTTTGAAGAAAGAAAAGTTCAGCTACGTTTCTACCATGTCTCTGCTGTTCTGTGGATGACTTCAGGTATTTTCTAGGTGTGTTTCAACTGGCTTTCCCCTAATATTGTTAAGCTTTAAGATTTACACAGTGCTCCACCTCCCCCCCCAGTGTTGCTTTAATACTGAGGCCAAATGTGAGATTTTGTAAAAGTATTTAATTACAAGGAAGAATAAACATCAGGCTGTAGATCAAACCACCATTAACTTGAATTCAGCCTGTTCCTTAATAAACTACAAAAGTTATATTAAAGTTACGTAAAACTAGTTCTTCTCGATAAGAGACTTAACTAAACTTTAATTAGCTCTCAAAAGCAAAGTGTCACGAGTTTTGCTACAGTTATCTAACTTCAGAGCTAACTTAGGCCCTCTCCTTTTAAAAATAGGACCAAACAGTTTGAGGGGTTAAAGACACACTATCCTTTCCCCACCCAGTGTTATCCTCAGAAGCCTCTTCAAGATCTTGACTTGAGGAAAAACTAGTTTCCATCTTTTTCTCGTTGCAGTGAATTTGCCACTTTTCTAGAACAGTTACCTCCAGTCAGTATAATGGTCACTGAAGCGATGTTCCATTATAAAAGGATAGTGCATCTTTAACATTTAAAGACAAACCTGCTCCAACACACGCCCACAGAAACTGGTCCCTGGAGGATCAGCCAAATCAGTTAAAATCTGCAATACTGGCCAATATTCTTTTAGCAAACAGGAGACCGCAGCTTTAAAGGGGAAAATGCAGATGTTGGATAAATACAGTAAGAAATAGTCATTTTCATAATAGGTTGCGTCTCATACATTATTTTATAAAAGTCAAGCCATTAATCTCAACAAAACAAGAAAATGTCCTCTGCAGAAAGCCCTTTGGTATTAATTTCCCTAATCAATAACCACACAGCACTGTTTAAAGAAAAAAAAAAAGAAACAAAAAAAGAAAAGAAAAGAAAAGAACAGCTAGTAACGTGCCCCACTACGATTCACTTGGTTCAGGCTATTAATACTTTGCCCAACACCCCACTGAAGTGCTACAATAAAGTAACATGCAACGTTTGCTGTTCCCAAAGTACATTACCATTTTCCTAAGAGGATACGGCTCCTTCTTCCTCTGGAGACTTGGGAGGGCTCTTTGACCTGGATCTGGAGTTAGATTCCCTCTTTGAGGCAGGTGGAGGGCTTCTAGACCTGGACCGAGATCTTGACCTGGACCGTGATCTGGAGACAGATGAGGACTTTGACTTGGACCTCCGGGCAGATCTGGACTTCGAGGTGGAACGAGACCGAGAGCGTGTGCGAGACCGGGACTTGGACCGACTGTAGCGGGACCGACTGCGGGATCTAGAGCGACTCCTGCTTCTAGATCGACTGCGACGGCGTCTTCTGGGGCTGAAAGGCAAGAGAGAGGGGAAGAGGCGGGTTAAGAGTTGAGCTGTGCAACAGACTTCCCCCGACTTCAGGGCAAGGAGGGCGGAACAGGGCCCACGTGGGCGAGAAAATGCGTGGTAGGAAGGCGCCATTGTTCAGAGAGAGTGGCCGGGGGCTAAACCCTCCACAGGGCCCAGCCCTCCAGCTCCACAGAAACTCCACGTGCTTTTACAACCAAAACTATCCCCCACAACCACTTCCCTATAAAAAAATAGCCGCGAACCCCCCTCCAAATTCGGGGCAGCCCGAAGCGCAGCCCCTGCCCCGGCTCTCACCTGCGGCTGCGGCGGGGGGCGCCGGCCG